ACGAGCGACGCAGTGAACTTGTTTGCTGGTGTAGCATTGCAACGGATCAAGCGTTATAAGTCGAAACTGGCATCATAAAGTTGAAACAGGGTGTCCATTTATAAACATTGTAGGTAAGTGCGAAATGTTGTAACTCGAAATGTTGTAAGTTGAGGACTGCCTGTATTCTCATCCAAAAGAAAAAAATAGTAATACTTTAAGGGCATGCTGGCGAGACAATGTTAGGAGCCATTGTTGATCAATAAGAGGATCTGCGATATAATTGAGAAAGAGGTGGATAACCTTGAGGAATAGACATGGGGTGAAATGGTGCAAGTGCAAAGTTGGGCATTTATGGACTTGGGACAAGAACTTGTACTCTAAGCCAATAGTTCATCAGTAGCAACTACTAAGAAGGGGAAGCGCTTGAGTTTACTAGATAATCAAAGGATGACTGAGAGCCACCAAGGTAATGCAGCCATGAAAAAAGCAAACGTGTCTGCTAAGGGATTTCCAGTAAAGAGATGGAAATTGTACAACATATAAGCAAGACCTCACATTCTTCTGGCCACCCATGCTCAAGAGAGATGAACTCATATCCAGACTGGAACAGGTGCAAAGAAAGGCTATTAGGATAAGTAAAGGATTGGAGAGCACGTCACAGAGAGGAGATGGAAAGGTCTTACTTACCCTGTGTGATCTGTGTTGGAAGGAGATAGTATAGGGAGGATGAAGACCAGAATGACAAAAGAGACCTAGCTAAGCTAAAGGACCATCATGGCCCAAGGGGATTACCTTGTACAAACGTGGGCTGGTAATTAGAAGGAGGTTCTTAAGCATCAAGGGCACACGGTTCTGCAACAACCTCCCCCAAAAAAGCAATAGGAGCAAAACAACCTGAACTCACATTAAAGTGGAGTTTAAGTGGTTATGAAGGTGTTTATACCACGGTGACAGAAGCGAACTGGACTCCATGAGCCAGGAGGTCCCTTCCAGTCCTATGTTCCTGTAAATGGGAAGGCAACACACGGCTTAAAACACAGGTGTGACACACTTATGAGTTCACACATCACTTTCTGCACAACTGCACAGATTTGGGGTTACTGGCGACTTTCTGCTTTGATTCTCAAGTCAACATCACATGATAGGGATTTAATGGTTAAAAAAAAAGTCAATGACTCCCGTCTCTGTTCCAGTGCCAAGCGCGAGCTCCAGCCAGTACGTTTGGACCTACTCGCCTGATCTTGTACTGTCGTGACATAATCTTAACTTTTGAGGTCTGTATTTTTGGGATTTGAGCCTTTTCTAAAGCATGATCGTGTCCTTAACATTTGGTAGAGCTAGCAAATCAACAAGTCAGCTTCAGGAAACATATGGCTTAGTGACACCAGACACGTTGACAAACATATTGAAGTCATTATCTCCTCAGTTAAGAGTGATTCTCGGTTTAAAATACCAGACTGGGCACCCTCCATTATACGGAGACAGGGATGTTAGACTGAACACAGTTTTAGGCTGTGCTATCAAATGAGTGCAGGACTGCTGCATCTATTTTGGTCATGTTATTTCTAAAATGAATTTGAAATGAAAATCTCTTATTTCCCTTATGCTTTCAGGAAACACTGGAGCTTCATTGTTGTATTGGAAATCATTAACTGGTTAGAGGTATTTGTAAAGTTCATAGCATAACACAGAGCATCTTAAATGATGTTCTGCCTCATTGGCTTGCTTAGATTCCCCTACCTTTGGGGAAACATTGTGCTCCATAATTGTGTTTTTCAGAGATTCAGAGACCGTTTGTGCTGAGCTGAGCCCGTGTAAACCAACGGCGATTCAGTGGGTCCTACTGTGTACCTGCACTGGGGTCACACAAGCATGAATTTAAATTGTCTTCAGTGCAGTTTCTTCTTACTTATAAAAAGATGCAACTTGGGGGGAGCCGTTCCACAGACCCCCAATTCCCTTGCAACTCACAATGCTTCGGAAATTGCTGTAGCCCAGCGGCACACTTGGAGGCGAAAGTCTAGCACCTAATCTGCAAAAATCAACACTAATAAAAAGGTGGTGCCTGTTTTCCTTTGGCTCCAATTTGATCAGGGAACAGGTGCATATCGAGAGGCCCAGAGAGAAAGCCGGACCTGGAAAAGCAGCTGACAGCAGGATGCACGGTTAAGGCATCCTATTTCCTTTCCTCCTCCTTTCCTTTCTGTTACTTTCTTGCTATATCACCTCTCCTCTCTTGCATCTCATTGCATCCACTTTCCTCTGACTTCCAAATTGGAGCAGTGTGAGCGCATGGCGAGTGTTTTTGGTGAGATCTTGTATTGGACTGACTATATAGTTAAGAGAGGTCTAAAACCAGCTTTAGGGCACAAAGCGTGGTCGTTTTCCTGTTGTGCCCAAGTCGGTCTAACTATACCATTGGTCTAATTAAAATGTCACTAAAAGCAGTTATAATAATCTTGGCTCTTGCATATTCCCTGGACTATCCCAGCTACAACACTCCACTCCCATTACAAATTAGACTAAGTTGCACTGTATCCATTCCCTAACCCACTGACACCCATTTCGCTGTTTTCATCCGGACTGATTTTGGTTCTAAAACTTCTACCACAGCACCTTACTTTAAGCTGAGGTGAGTCCCAGCACTGCAGTGTCCTTATGCTGAAAAATACACCTTTGAGAATAATTTTGCATAAGATGGCATCATGGGCTAGGCTCAACTCTGCACTCTGGCTCGCATCGATGAAAACAGATGTTTCATTTGAATTGGTCGTGACTGATCCCAGTCAAGACCTGGGAGTGGCAAAGCCCTTTATACACACCTGGAATGAATGGTAGTCCATTTGAATTAGCCCCAGTTGTCCTGGATAAAGTGTTATCTAGGATCCAGACACTTAAAGTGAAGCAGTGGACTTCTACATCTGTGGGATCCCAGGAGAAACGCCTTTGTCGTGGGAGAAAGCCAACATTTGTTTTTACCCCGTGAGTCCCTCTGATGTGTAAAGCTTAGCTGACCGGGCAAACCAGGTACACAATAGTTGTATCTCAGAGGACTATCCCAGTGAATTTAGCCCTGTGTGTGCCTTGTTTTTCTTTCTCGGTCTAGTGTGTATGATTCAAACCATCTGACTCTTTTTATCCTGCCTGTTTAGCGATGAACTCTGTAATACACAGGGTGTCCCTATCACCTGTATAAATAAGGAGCAACTCTGGTGATGGGGTTGAACTGATATAAAAATGGAAAGGAGATCAATGTCTAGCAATCTGATTCTCCTGTGCAAATCAGGATGGACCCTGGTGGCAAAACTGGAGCGAGGGAAGAAGACTATGTCTTATTCTTTGCATCTGATGCGCAGCATCAAAGAAAATCTAAGCTGGCGTAAACTAGCAATGCTCCATTGAAGTCAGCAGAATTGCATCAGCTAAGGATTATTCTCCTATAGCATTCCCCTCCCTCCAACCCCAAACGCACTCTCATTAGTCATCGCAACCATTAGCAAAGGGACATCTACTTATTTCCCTGTGTTGTACCCTGCTGCCTGAGCAGGCACGGACCAGCATCCACTGGACCTCTGATATTTTAGTGACACTGATGAGAATCCAAAATCAACTTCCTGGTTCCCTTATTTTAATTTTTTTTTGCAAATGGATCAGTTGTAATGTGACTGGTGGTCCTCAGAGAAGGAAAGAGAAGTGTTTTGTTTGTTTGTTTTTTTCTTGTAGAGCTTAAAATTTTGGTCCGGAAGTGACGAAAAATCATGCTAAGCTTCAGAAAACCACTGGAGAGTCAAACTGAGCCAGACAGAGAAGCAAAAGATATGCAGCAGCGTTGCCAGGATGTTCAGTGCCATCAACAGTTTCCATTAGGATCACTCAGGACATCTGGAGCAGATGGATGACATGAAGAGGCACTCCAAGAAGAAGCTGATGGAAGTGACTTGCTCAGTGGATGCTGCCGTCATGCCGGTACAGTTTTGGGACGCCCTTCTTTGGTGAACAGGCAGCAGCCATTGCAAGGATGGAGGCTATACTGGTGGTGACAGAGAAGGAAGGTGGTGGTGATGGTGGTAGCGGCGAAGAGGAGGTGCACGCTCATGGTCCACGTGTTCCTCTGGAGCTTCAGTCAGGTAAAAAGTCTTTTAACAGCACTGTTCATCCTACCTACACAGCAGCCATCCAGGAAATGCTTGATAAAGAAACACCAGATCTGTGAAGCCTTTATCTGTAAGGTTGTCTTCAGAGGCTATGGAAAAATGTCCTCTGACTCATTATACTGCTTCAGACAACTTTACATCAAGAGTTTTATATGTTTAGCTTCTTTTAGCTTCTCGTTCCTTTGAGTCTCCCTATGCTTGAAGAAGGGTGATTGCGCCCGATAGCTTGCTAAAAACTTTTTTTTCCCAACTATTCAGTTGGTCTAATAAAAGATACCACATCTACTCAAAGACCCTTGCCTGCCCTTTACATAGAGAGAGCATCCCACCACAATCCTTGGGCTTCTCTCCATGTAATCCTTCTGGCGTTCATTACTGGAGTCTCATGTCTTACTCCTCGTCCCGCGCAGCCAGCACGCCTCCCGTCTGTGAGAGCTCAGAGTTGCTGAAAGGGGCTCTCCATGCAGAGCAGGAAGCATCTGCAGGACAGGCGCCATTTCAAAGTGATCGCCTTTACATTTAACAGTCACACCCAAAACAAAGGAAGGTGCCTCTTGTGCATAAATCCAGGCTATCAGCTTTAATGAGATGCTCTCATGCACATAGTCAACATGCTACATCCATGCTGGGGTTCCTACATCATAAATGCAACGTTCCTACAGCCACCTGGCTGGGGTCACTCGTTCCTGCCCAGGGCAGGGAGTCAGGCTCGATGATCTAATAGGTTCCTTCCGACCCTACATCTATAAAACTGTGCATACACCAGCACCCAGTGCCTTCTTCCTTGGCCATCATGGCAAAAAGTGTTGTTTTGTCCATTGCTAACATGTAAAAGATTCATGTTTAAAACTTTTCTGCCCCCAGATGAGGAGAAGGAAGTGCCTGGTTGCTCTTGGGTGCTTTTGAGGAGTATTGAAATGCCTGTACCAGCTGAGACAGATCTGGTAGAGCAGTGGGGGGCACTGCAAACCTCGGCTTCCTCTCCCTCCCCTCCTTGATCCCCCCAGACTCAGCAGCAAGCTGCTTTCAGGAGGCAGTCGTCCCACGCAGCTCAGCACCCAAAGGAAGCATGAAGCCTCTGAGTTCAAGAAGCGGCTGATGGATGCACATTTGCAGCAGAGTGCCCTGTTCTCCTCCTGGTATCGGCAGCAGAGCACCCTTATGATCCAGCAGAGCCTCATCTTGGAGAACTTAGTGGAGCAGAACAAATGGCTGGCGGACAATGGTAAGGCCCTCACCCGACCCCTGGAGAAGATGGTGGGCTCCCGACACCCACACAAAGAGACGGCACGTTTGGTTCAGGACTGCCCCACGGGGACCTCCGCCCATCTGCTTTCCCAGATAGCCAGCGGCGAGCTTGCAGGGCAGTCGGGCGTTGAGGCGTTCTCGGGAACGATCTTAAAAGTTGAGGACGACGCTTGAAGGGAGATGCCCTTGTTCCTCGCATATCATTTTTGTCTGTAAATACTTTGTTTAGGGTGGTTCAAAAATGAGCCACATTTTTGTAGGTCACAATAAATGCTATGGTAGCTCTTTGATAGTGGGTCAATCTTGGGTATATTCTACATATAGCCTTGCCTACAATAGGACAGGGTATCAATCTTTTTTATAACCAGCACCACTGTCCATTTCTGAGAGAGATTGTTGTATCTGTTCGTTTTATTGTGAAAGCTATTTTTCTTATAGAAATCCCAAACATATATATATATATATATATATATATATAAAATAAACTCTATTCATATTTATCTTTGCTCTTAAGAGTCTGTCCCAATAGGTATTATTCTTTTCCTGAAACATTTCTGGTAAGAGGGTTTAAAGAAAAAAGAAATTACTGCTAAGCATGTAATAACAAAGGGGTTTCATTGATGTCAAAGAAAAAAATTGTCGGTGTTGATAGGAGCAGGATGGAACTTTATTGCTCCAGGAAATGTTTGCTGATTTAATAATACAGAGGAGTATTCCTGAATGGGCAGGGAAGTTATTTTTCATATAAATATCAACCGTGGCTTCTGGGATTCCTCTCTTAGCCCTTTCCGTGTGTGCTGGTCCTCTCACCAGAATTGTGTTTAAAAGACATGGAGTTTATCAGTGAATGCGACATATAAGAACATGAGAATTGGCATATGTAACCCTTGCTATAACTCTCTTTGCTTATATCACAAATGTCATGGTATTTGTTTTTCCCTTAAAGCTGCAACTCCTGGAGCCATGTGAATTTACACAAATTTCAGCTTCGTTTTTTATGAAAAATAAATGTTTCAAGTCCTCTCATTTGCAAAGAACATGCCCTGACTATCGAAAAGGCTGCAAAACCATAGGAAAAAAAGGCTCTTGATTTTGATTATTTTTTCCTGAACCTTTCAGGCCCATTTCATGGTATCTTCAGTCAGGGGCTGGCAATACTAAATATCTTTAGACCTGTGGGTCATAGGGATGGAAGGGGCCTCAAGTCCCCTGCTCACATCAGTCGTCAAAGCATATAATCCCTTTCCTAACATTATCAGGTTTATCCAATCTAGTATCGCATCTCCAGTAGTGACAGTCAAAGTTAGGCAGAGATAAAAGAGTCTGTCCCACTCCTCCTTGTTCCATGAAGATTTCATGCTAATGGTTAAGAGATGAGGGTGGTTTTATATCCTTTCCATATTCATTGCCTGTTAGCTGTAAGTATCGTGCTCACGATTTTTTGTTATCTAGAAAAGCACTCGCTTCCCCTTCAAATCTTGCTAAATTCTTAGCTTCATTCACTTCTCGAGGCAGTGCATTTCCACTGTCTAATTGTATGTGATGAGATAAGCATTTTGTTACGTGGGTTTTGAATTGGTTACCCTTTTGATTCCTTAAGTGTCTCCACATTTTCCTGTTTGAGTCACTCCCCTTCTTTTCCGGTCCAGTTCAAGGGAAGTGAGGCTCTGCTGAGATGCAGGAATTCAGTTTATCAAGAAGAACGCCATGCCTCCGCCTTGTACGTAAATCCTTTTAAGATCCCGACTGAAAAAATGTCCCAATTAAACTCTTTTTGAGAATGAACATGTGCCAACTGCTAAAATGATGCTTGAATCTTCTTTTTTTTTTTTTTCCCCTTTGGATAAAGAAACCATACTACCAACAGTAAGTACTGCTCAAGTACGGATGCCACCCTGCAACCCCTAATCACACCAGAAACAAGTTTAGCATTTGTGAGCTACAAAGCAATGATCTGAAATAGCTTGATATCTGGAAAGGATCATGTGTCTCGAATAGCCTTGGCTTAGTTAATTAATTTGGTTACACTGCTGGCTTTTTTCATGTTTCTGCTAAGGCATCTTTAAGCAACTCTAGCAATTCATAAGGCCTCTGGGTCATAGGAAAATAGGCTTGAAAGGACCTCAAAATATCCTTTACTGAGCTCCATGCTCAGGAGAGGGTTACTTCTGTTTAAACCACCCCAGACATATCTTTGTTTAACCTACACGTAAAAATGCCCAATGGCAAAGGGTCTAGCAAATGTGCTCTAAGGTTTCACCACCCGCAAAGTGAGAAAGTTCTTCCTACCATGTAACCTAAACCTCCCTTACTACAATTTAAGTCCATTGCTTTTGGTCCCATCCCCTGTAGACACATAAAACAGTCAATCACCATTTTAGTATTTAAAGAATGTTTATAGATTCATAGATTCATAGATGTTAGGGTCGGAAGGGACCTCAATAGATCATCGAGTCCGCCCCCCTGCATAGGCAGGAAATTGTGCTGGGTCTAGATGACCCCAGCTAGATGCATATCCAACCTCCTCTTGAAGACCCCCAGGGTAGGGGAGAGCACCACCTCCCTTGGGAGCCCGTTCCAGACCTTGGCCACTCGAACTGTGAAGAAGTTCTTCCTAATGTCCAATCTAAATCTGCTCTCTGCTAGCTTGTGGCCATTATTTCTTGTAACCCCCGGGGGCGCCTTGGTGAATAAACCCTCACCAATTCCCTTCTGTGCTCCCGTGATGAACTTATAGGCAGCCACAAGGTCGCCTCTCAACCTTCTCTTGCGGAGGCTGAAGAGGTCCAGGTGCCCCAGTCTCTCCTCGTAGGGCTTGGCCTGCAAGCCCTTAACCATATGAGTGGCCCTTCTCTGGACTCTCTCCACGTTATCCGCATCCCTCTTGAAGTGCGGTGCCCAGAATTGCACGCAGTACTCCAACTGCGGTCTGACTAGCGCCCGATAGAGGGGAAGTATCACGATAATGTGCCATTAGCTTTTCTGATGGCTTCGTCACACTGCCGACTCATGTTCATCTTGGAGTCCACTAGGACTAGACTGATCAGGCACGATCTGCCCGCTACGAACCCATGCTGGTTTCCCCTCAGCATAATTTGTCCTGCCGGGCTCTCGCAAATGTGAGCCTTGATAATTTTTTCAAAGACTTTGCCAAGGATGGAGGTGAGACTGACTGGCCTATAGTTGCCCGGGTCTTCCTTCCTCCCCTTCTTGAAAATGGGGACCACATTGGCCCTTTTCCAGCCCTCCGGGACTTGGCCCATGCGCCACAAGCGTTCAAATATTCCCTCCAGTGGCTGGGCAGTGATGTCGGCCAGTGCCTTCAGCACCCTCGGATGAAGCTCATCTGGGCCTGCCGACTTAAAGGCATCCAGTTCCTCCAAGTGATTCTGCACCATCTCAGGGTCTACGCATGGTAGTCTGGCACCTTGCTGCTACCTCTCTACAATCCCAGTGAGAGACTTGTCTTGTTATATTCTTCTTCAAAAGGAAGAACGAATTATATTTTTTTTTTGCAAAATGTGTGTTGATCTAATAAAAGATATCATCTCTACTATGAGTCTTGGTTGCCTTTTCCACTAGGCCAATACGGCAACAGCCTGGCTACCTGACATATTCTTCGGTCATCTCTTTTCTAGAGTACATGATCCCCATCCTTCAAGCCACTCATCCTATGTCATATTTTCTCAACCTTCAGTCATTTTTTATTGCTGTCCTTTTGATTCCTTCCAATTTATTCTTGAAGCACAGTGCCCGGGACTGGACACAGTGCTCCGGGTGAGGCCTCACCGGCACCGAATCAAGTGGAAGAACTGAAGTGAGTATAAATGTGCAGACATCTGAAGGTGCCTTTTTGCTGACAAAATGATGCAAAGGTCCCTTCTCAGCAGACAGACTCATACTCTGTTTCTTTAATTTTCTTGTGCTACAGTGATTTTACTGTTTCGTTGGATAGCAAAATACATATTTTCTTTACGTTTCTTTTTTTTTTCCCGTCCCTTATATTCATAAAATGTTCAATGAGGCAAATAAACTCCCTTATAGTTTAACCACTTTAAAGGTACTGCAGGGAAAAAAAATGACATTTACATCCCGTAGTTAACATTTTATAGAAAAGCTAGACGTTTGCGTTGGTATGCAAATTTCTAATGTATTCAATAGCAAGCACTTAAATGCGTATAAAATTTAATGCGTTTATGGGATGAGGTTCTGTTTCTGAGAGTGCTTTTCTTCCCAAAAGATCACAAGGCACCATGCAAACAGTTTTATAAAGTGTATGTACAGATTGCTGAAACACAACCTGCTAAGAATGGAAAAGTAGTAATTGTTTGAAGAGTAAGCCTTGGTTAGGTCAAGTCCTATTGGGACACACTGCTACAACACAGTGTGTCTGTGTCTGTGTGTGTGTGTGTGTGTGTGTGTGTGTGTATTTAAGGATATATTTTTAAAATATATCCTTAAAAAAAAATATATATATATATATTTTAAGGATAGAAAGTGAAGAATAATATAATCTCTGGTTTAAATAGCTGTGGAGTTTTAGATTAGCAAGATGTTAATCTTTGCTCTGGGGGGAGCTCAAAAGACAGTACTTCCAGTAGCCTAGTGCTGCTTCTCAAAGAGAAAGACTGGGCTTTCCATTGGCTCACCAACTTGTCTGTAGTAGCTCTCCCACCTATTAAGTATCTAAATGGTTTTAAGTGCCTGAGTATGGCTCTCTTCCATCCTATTCAAGCCCTGAAAATGCTTCTAGTTTTGTAACACACCATCATTTTGCCCTTAAGACCGACTCGTAGACAAGCATCAAGGAAAATGAAGGACCCACCCACTTTTTCACAGCATGTTTTTCAGGGAGTTGAGCTGGGCAGAATAGAAGCACGTGTAAGTGCGTAAGTCCACGTATGTGCTGAATGAATGAATAGAGCCTGATTCAAAGTGTTCCTCAGAAATGCAGGTATTCACATACCTCACCTGTATTTCGCATGGGAGCTGAAAATGCAGTGTCGAGCATAATGTGCAGAGTGTGTGATGATCGTAATGATCTCAGCAGAAAACTTCCCAGCTGCAAAGTGTCCTCATTTAGCCATTTCTCCTTCCTCCCTCTAAACATAGACGACTTAGGGCCCTGCCACATGTTCAAATTCAAGCTGGATAGAAACTAGCTATAAAGCTGTTACACGTTTTCAAGCACTAACTTTGTAGCGGGTTGGCTCTTTTTCTAGCTGGA